TTCGCCAAACATTCCGGTGCTTAGTTCAATGCACTAGTTGAAAAATCCCGACATTTGTGCTTACCGTCGTAGCCCATTTATAATTTGTCTTTTCGGCGACGTTGATACCCTAGAAAAGAAAGTGCAGCAACGACCGAGTTGAGGCCATTGAATTCGCATGTCGTGGGATGCTATGGTCTCATTCGATTAATTTTGGGAGCTCGGTGTACACTTTTGCGGATATTTTTTTCAGCATGGCGTTTGATGTATTGACGGTTTTACAGGCCTTTGTTTATGGCATGCTTGAATAAAATTTCTACGGACATGCATAGTAGAAGTGTCACTGGGTGTCTGCAGTTTTTTTCTTCTAAGACGTACAACGTCTTAGATATTTTCTGCTCTGAGGACTGCTTGTAATTTTTGATCTTTTCACGTTCAGCTGGAAAAAAGTCAAACGGGTACCCGTTTTAGTCATCCTTTCTGTACCATAAGTACTAACCAGCACTACGAGTCTCTTTGCGAAGCATGAAAAAGTATTTTTCGTGGCCTTTACATAAGGATTAATTTACTCAGTCAAGAAACTCACTGATGTGGAGACACGACAATGTCGTCAGGTTAACTGATAGCCTTTTGAACAATTGCTCCAATCTACCGTTTAATTACACTAAATTAACGAATACCTTTTTAGCTCATCACAAAAAATTGACAGATTATGTGAAAAACATTGGCGGCTAAGGTCTGTGAGACGGGAATTCTGTAGCTTAAGCCAGAACAGATCCAAAGTGTATAGTATTACGAGAAAGCCTCGTATTCATGCATACCTGCCGACTATAACGAAAATAAAACACAAACCGCCGACCACGAATTTCCGTGCGTGTTGCGCATAACCGCTAAAAGCTTTACAATCAAACGGTGTGACAAGCCTCGTTCGCCATAGGTTTCTAATGCCCTTAGACCGTTAACACTTCCCGCACATAAATAGACTATCAGAGTGCAGTGAACTTTACGGTTTTATCCACGGTAACTGCCGATAGTGCATGTGT